TGTGTATCCTTCAGTTGTTTTGGAGAGGCTGGCTGAGAACTCTAATGCTTGTACCTTGTTAGAATTATGGACATACTTTTGACTTATCTAGCTTTTGAAACCAGTAAAGGCTGACATTTGGCATTTTGGAATGTACCTGAATGCTACCTATAAAAGCCCACCATAAAGGCTAAACCCAAGAGTGCAAATTAACAAATCCACAAGACTATGGCTAATTTATTACTCAATTATATTTCAACAGTACATCTCAAATGGTTGCAAATAGAGATTTATTTGAATTTTTAATTGCTTAAAAATTCATATTAGATATATTTTTAAATCTGACTGACTTATTAAACAGCTATAATACAACATCTGTTTCTGTCTGGGGTTGCAGCAAGATCAGAAGTGGTCTCTTGGCCTTCACGCACTGATGATAATTATTTCTCTTCTTTGTTCCCTACTGCTCAGTAAGTGGGCCACTGGAAACATCCGTTGGCTCCCAGGGTCAGAGATGTGGAGTCTTCTACCATGGACACTGGTCAAACCCTCCCTGGAACTAACATAGTTTATATCACCCTGCATACTGAATTTAAAATGGAGATCATATTACTATCAGCCTCATGTGGTTGTTATGAAGATTAAATACATGCAAAAACTCTTACAGGTTTGAAGAAATAAGTCAGTTACTCCAGAAATATTACATATGATTATTATTTATAACTAAGAACTGATAGGAGGGACAATATGTTGAGGGGTATATTGGTTCTCATTTCCCTTATTAACCCCACAGAGATTCTGAGTATAATTCATGTTCAATAAGAGAAGATAATATTCAGTTCCTTATTCTGATGATGATAATTACTATAAAATGATGGTTTTCATGGTTACTATGTTTAGCAGCTTCTATGCCTTATCACAGTGTTTCACCAAATATGCTAGACAAAGGTCCATGGGCAAATATTGTTAGTTTTACTAGAAATTTATTTTAATGTGTATTAGTAAGAAAAATAGTAACTAGCACATCAAATTCATTATGTCTTTTGACCACCATAACTTAAGATGAAGCCAAAATTAAAAAATAAAAACAATTATAGGTTGAAATTTTATCTATCCATTAAAAATACATAGTAAATATATTAATTTATATAAAATATGTACTCTTTTGTACATATTCTACTCTATATCTATATACAGATCTTCAGATTTTCTTTGACTTATAATAGGGTTGCATCCAGGTAACACACTGTAAGCTGAAAATATTGTAAATCAAAAATTCACAGAGGGGCACCTGGGTGTCTCAGTAGGTTAAATGTCTGCCTCTGGATTTTGTCTCGGGTCATAATCTCATGGTTCGTGAGTTTGAGCCCCATGTTGGGCTCTGCACTGACAACGCAGAGCCTGCTTGGGATTCTTTCTCTCCCTCTGTCTCCGCCACCATACTCTGTTCTTCCTGTCTCTCTCTCGAAAGAAATTAAAAAAAACATTAAAAAAAACCTTTTTTAAAAAATCCATGAAATACACCTTGACTACTAAGCAATCTAACTTAGCCTAGCCTACATGAATAGGTTCTCAGAACACTTACATTAGCCTACAGTTGAGCAAAATTATCTAACATAAAGCCTATTTTATGAAGTTGAATATCATGTAATTTATTGAACACTGTACCAAAAGTGGAAACAAAAATGGCTGTATAGAGAATGGTTTTAAGTGTATTGGTGGTTTGCCCTTGTGACTGCATGGCTGACTGTGAGCTGTGGCTCACTGTCACTACCCAGCATCACAAGAGAGTATCGTACCACACAAAGCTATCCCAGGAGAAGATCCAATTTCAAAATTCAAAGTATGGTTTCTACTTAATGTTATCACTTTCACACCATCGTAACATCAAAAAATCACAAATTCAACCATCATAAGTTTGGGGTGTGTGTGTGTGTGTGTGTGTGTGTGTGTGTGTGTGTGAGCAAAAATTTTGTAGAAGATATAGTTTTATTTCATTTCATCTTCATCCTCACTTAGTCTTGTGAGGCAGGTACCATCATTCTCTCCATTTTACAAGTGAAAAAAATCCATGTTTAAAAAGGCCCAACATTTCTGAAGTCTTTCTAAACAAATGGTAGACCTGAGGCTCCAACTCATAATCTTTGCTCTCTGTTGTGGCATCCCTGGGGTTGTTTCTCACATTCTCAGGAATGCTCATTTTCTTTCAAACCTTTTTAAAAATATTAACATTTATTGTTTTTTCCTCCTATAAAATTAAGATTTATTCATTATAGAAATTTTAGAAAATAAGATTTCTTTTAGAAAAGAAAAGAAGAAATAGGTTTTTTTTTTAATCGTGGTAATAACATGAGATCTACACTTTTTTTTTACCTGAAGATCTGTTTTTTTGACATAGATATATACTCTTAACAACTTTTTAAGTGTACGGCACAATACTGTTAACTCCAGGCACAATGTGCAGCAAACTCTTTTTACTTTCCTGTCACAGCTCTGTAAGATGGGCCAAACAAAGACACTGAGAGAGGTCAGGAAGTCCCTGGAACTTCACAAGAAAGTATAAGCACACCAAAATTCCTGGTTCCTAGGCCCCTTCCTTTAAATCACACTGCATCACATGAGGGGCCCTATAGCAAGCAGCCCTGTCCTTCGGAAGACAAAGTAACATACTCAACTGAGAAGCATCAGAAACCGCAGTAAGCTTTTCCCTGTTGGGGAGCAGGGTCTGTAAGAGCTGACCTGGGCTCTATTCCCAGGGTGATAGCAGCAATGGCTACCTCAGAATCTGTGCTGGCCTCTTCTGAGCAAGGAGCTCAATAATTCTGTGTGTGCAAGTGCCCACACACATGCACCATCTGATTTAATTAAGCCACTTCTCAATTCAAATAATGAGTTTGAACACATAACTGAAGCACTACCAAATTACCAATTTTTGACTTTTTGTTGGTTTTCAGCTTGGTGCTTCTAGGTCTTTGTGGCTCTCTGCTTCCTCTAGTGGTAAATCTAGGGCAGGGGGTTTGGGATGTTAAGTAGGCAGCAAATGACATGAGTGCCCACAGAAGCACACACCATATAAATGGAGGTTTATGGATTTAATTGTAATGCAATTCCAAAGGAGCCATTCAGAGTGATCTGTGATCTTATGAAGTTCCATCATAGGACCCTGTGGGTTTCAGAAGCTAAGCTCTCTTCTTGCCTCCACTTCAGTCAAATGGCTAGGAGCCCAAGTGCCTCCATTTGGCATTACAAAGCAGCACCAAGAGACTCATGTTCATTTTGACCCTAGGGCCACAGCTGAGCTGAAGGGCTGAATGCCTCAGACCTTTCCCATTTCAACAAAAATACACTGGTCCCAGGTGCTTGCTAAAAATTCTCTTCTTCCCCATCATTATTACCAAAAGATTCTGTCCAGAAACAGGTAATATGAATAAAATGCATTTCTTTTTGGGGCCTAATGGTTTATTGAAAGGATTTGGTGAGCACCTGTATACCTCCTGGTGGGCTTTGAAGGTGATTGTTAGCATATGTTGTTGATTAGTAACATTTATTGATTAGTAACTCTTACTCCTGTTACTCTTTAAGGCTCCTGCCAAACTGTGTTTTCTGGGTAAATTATTCTTAGCAAGGGTGTTGCCTGTGGTGAGTTGTCAGACACACGGACACACCTTGCTTTCAGACCTGGGCACTGGTGTTCATCTGGCCCCACCTCTTCACCAGCCCTCATCTCATGCACTTCTGGCCAGCTCAGCCACTGATAGAATGCTGTTAGTGAGCTTCACAGGCACATTGGAGGCATTATCCAGGCTCCCAGTCTGAAACCCAACAGGGAAGAAGCCAACTGAAAGCACACAAGGGATCAGACCTTTGATGTTGCACAAAGCAAATTGCATTTCAAGCTCTGGAGAACATGAGCCATTCTAAACCTGATTAAGAGTCATCCGGTACCAAATTGTGATAAATGTTTATTTTGGAAAAGTGGATTGTCAGTGTTTTCAGATTCTGCTTATTCACCCAGAAAGCATTTGTTTTTCTCTTTATTTGGGGTAAGAATAAAAGAAAGCCTTGAATTGTCCTGAGTTGTTTGCTGGGCAAAATTGAGAAGGAGTTTGTTTTGGCTTCTGCTCAAATAACTGTCTAGAGCCCCCTGATGTAGAGAGTCTCACCTGGCCACTCTGACTCAGTGTCTTCATATTCCTCACTTATCTGCCCTTCCTCTAGAGTGCAGGTGTGCCCACTCTCTGGACTGGCCCTGAGGTGGGAAGTTAATGAGTTCATTTAAAGGGAGAGTGATCTGGGCCCCTGGGTGGCTCAGTAGGTTAAGCATTGGACTTTGGCTCAGGTCATGATCTCACAGTTCAACAGTTTGAGCCCTGTGTTGGTCTCTGTTCTGACAGCTCAGAGCCTGGAGCCTGCTTCAGATTCTGGGTCTCCTCTCTTTGCCCCTCCTGCTTGCACTCTCTCTTTCTCTCTCTCTCTTTCTCTCTCTCTCTCTCTCTCTCTCTCTCTCAAAAATAAACATTAAAAAAAATAAAAGGGGAGTGATCATAGAATTCAGACACAGACGTAGCTGGAGACAGGATTTGGAATCTGTTTTGTTCTTGTTTTTTAATTTTTGTCAAAAATAAAATGCTACGAAAATTTTGGAGGAGAAAAAGAATCATTCCTAATTCTTCCATGCTTTGTAGTTGCTAAGTAGCTTCTTTGGTATTTTAGTGCACTTACTTGTACACATAAATTTATGCTTTTTACGTAAAATGGAATCATTACTGAATCATTACTTTAAATTTATAACAAAATAATTTGTGTTTCCATTTTTTTTGTTAGTGGCTTTGTAATATTTTCTATCCAGTTTCTCTGAGAATAAACATAACAGTACTTTGAAAGCCTTTCATATCCCCAGAAAGAAGAAATGACAAAGAAGCCAGACATTATAATGAATGTTTATGATCTTTACTTAGGAACATGACAGTCTCAAGGCCTCTGTCATTTCTGAATCTTGATGATTTATCTTGTTTCCTCAGACCCTGCACCAGCCCACAAAGATGGGCAGAATGAAGCAGACAGTGCACCAGAAGACCTCCAGTCTGTCGGGACTAGCAGGCTTCTCTATCACATCACTGACGGTGATAACCCACTGCTGTCACCACGATGCTCCATCTTCAGCCAAAGCCAGAGATTCAACTTAGACCCTGAATCAGCCCCTTCTCCACCCAGCACTCAGCAGTTTATGATGTAAGAAAACCTTATCTTCATTTCATCCACTTTTTCAAGTACATTTATAACCTATAATGAAGTCTGTGTCTGAAATAGTGCAGACATGCCTATCAAATACAACCGCAAGACCTGAGCAATGAATGGCAAGAATCAGTGTACTTTCTATTTGGGAATACCGTGTCAGGTCTTGCCATCTCAGGAGGAAATGGTCATGGGATGCAGGAATACCCCAGAGCTTACGTGTTTGAACATTTTTGGTCAAATGACCAGACATAAGAATATGTCTAGACATAAGAGTATGTCTAGACATAAGAATATGTCTATGCAAATATCAGGAGTATCGTTGGTAAGCTCAATATTCTTTGCATGCCCAACAGTGGCTTCAAGGGATAGTTTGCAGCAGTGCTTGGGAGTTGTCTACCTCAATTTCTTCTTAGATTCCACAAGAGTAGCAGCTTACAATAGCTGCCCTCCACTCCCCCAAAAAAGTGTGAAACTATACATTCTTTTTTAAAAAAATCTACAAATAATTTTGATTCAAAACTAAAATGAGTGTCCCTTGGCTGAAAATATGTACAGATAATCCTAGTTTCTCCTTAGTAACTTCTGCTGTCATTAATGAATTTTCCAAATCTGACCTTGCAGGCTGTCTATTGATGGATTTGAGGGAGTTAGTGGATTATTGCTATTGTAAACTGTGGGCTATGTGAGAGGGTCAATGCATTTTCTGGAGGTGGGGGTCCATTCTTATTAGATTCACAAGGCTCTGTTGTGTCAAGAAAATTAACTACTTATCTATATCTTCTTTAAAAATGTTATTAGGTGCAACCTGTTAGGGATAATGCCACAGCAGGCTATTTCTTTTTGTCTTAAATTAGCCTCTTCCAAACTTTAGGAAATGCACTTCCTAGAATAATATTCTGACATTTCTGCACTAAATTCCCTGATAGCATTGTCCCATAATGGAATTCTTTGATCAGTGGTCTCTATTAATAAGTAAATACCACCATAGTAGACTCATCAAAAATGGCCTATCCTCTCTGATAATCCAGGAAGCTTCGTTTGTAGACCAGCAGCAATGTTTATGGGAAGACAATGGTTTTTGATGATTCTCTCCCTCCCTGCAATCATTACAGGCCACGAAGTTCTTCACGGTGTGGCTGTGGTGATGGCAAGGAGCCACAGACCATTACCCAGCTCACCAAGCACATCCAGAGCCTCAAGCGAAAAATTAGGAAATTTGAAGAAAAATTTGAACAAGAAAAGAAATACCGGGTAAGGACCCTGTGGCTTGAAATAAGGGTTGATTGTGTCTGAGGTGTGTGGGCTTTTCTGTCCTTCCTTTTTGGGTACTCCTCTGTGCCAGGGGACAGCTGTTTTCATTTGCCAACACAGGATCTATCATAAATAGAGTTCCTATCCTGGATCTGTCCTATTCTCACAGGCTGTCAGTTGCTCTCTAAAAAGATATTTTCTGGTAATGGATTATAACTCTTTTTTAAATCTTTTTTATTATTTATTCTTTAATATAATTTATTGTCAAATTGGTTTCTATAAAACACCCAGTGCTCATTCCAACAGGTGCCCTCCTCAATGCCCATCACCCACTTTCCCCTCTCCCCCAACCCCCATCAACCCTCAGTCTGTTCTCGGTATTTAAGAGTCTGTTATGGTTTGCCTCCTTCACTCTCTGTAACTTTTTTCCCCTTCCCCTCCCCCATGGCCTTCTGTTAATATTCTCAAGAGACACATATGAGTGAAAATATATGGTATCTTTCTCTGCCTGAATTATTTCACTTAGCATAATACCCTCTAGTTCCATCCACATTGCTACAAATGGCCAGATTTCATTCTTTTTCATTGCCAAGTGGTATTCCACTGTATATATAAACCACTTCTTCTTTATCCATTCGTCATTTGATGGACATTTAGGCTCTTTCCATAATTTGCCTATTGTTGAAAGTGCTGCTATAAACATTGGAGTACAAGTGCCCCTATGCATCAGCACTCCTGTATTCCTTGGGTAAATTCCTAGCAGTGCTATTCCTGGGTCATAGGGTAGATCTGTTTTTAATTTTTTGAGGAACCTGCACACTGTTTTCCAGAGCGGCTGCTCCAGTTTGCCTTCCTACCAACAGTACAAGAGGGTTCTGATTTCTCCACATCCTCACCAGCATCTGTAGTCTCCCGATTTGTTCATTTTAGCCACTCTGGCGTGAGGTATGGTATCTCAGTGTGGTTTTGATTTTTATTTCCCTGATGATGAGTGACATTGAGGCATCTTTTCATGTACCTGTTGGCCATCTGAATGTCTTCTTTAGAAAAGTGTCTATTCATGTTTTCTGCCCATTTCTTCACTGGATTTTTTTTGGGGGGGTGTGGAGTTTGGTTAGTTCTTTGTAGATTTTGGATACTAGCCCTTTGTCTGATATGTCATTTGCAAATATCTTTTCCATTCCATTGGTTGCCTTTTAGTTTTGTTGATTGTTTCCTTTGCAGTGCAGAAGCTTTTGTCTTCATGAGGTCCCAATAGTTCATTTTTGCTTTTAATTCCTTTGCCTTTGGAGATGTGTTGAGTAAGAAATTGCTGTGGCTGAGGTCAGAGAGGTTTTTTCCTGCTTTCTCCTCTAGGGTTTTGATAGTTTCCTATCTCACATTCAGTTCCTTCATCCATTTTGAGTTTATTTTTATGAATGATGTAAGAAAGTGGTTTATTTTCATTCTTCTGCATGTTGCTGTCCAGTTCTCCCAGCACCATTTGTTAAAGAGACTGCCTTTTTTCCGTTGGATATTCTTTCCTGCTTTGTCAAAGATTAGTTGGCCATACAATGGAAGAATAAATATTGTTAAAATGTCAGTACTACCCAAAGCAATCTACACATTCCATGCAATCCCAATCAAAATTGTAACCAGCATTCTTCTCGAAGCTAGAACAAGCAATCCTAAAATTTTATGGAACCACAAAAGACCCCAAATAGCCAAGGTAATATTGAAGAAGAAAACCAAAGAGGGAAGCATCACAGTCCCAGACTTTAGCCTCTACTACAAAGCTGTGATCATCAAGACAGTACGGTATTGGCACAAAAACAGACACAGACCAATGGAATAGAGACTCCAGATTTGGATTATAATTCTTATTTCCAAACTGATTTGATTATCTATCCTCCTCTTTCCCCCATAAGGAGCATTCCTATCACTAATAGTCTAGGAATGAAATTTAGAAAACTTTTGAATTATGATCTTATTTTTTTCTTTAACTCTTTACCATTTACATGTTTGTAAGAACCTATTAAGGACACAAAGGACAGAATCTCTACTTGTATAACAGAATGAGGGAGAGTTTTCTTTGACGTAAAAATGTCTCCTGGTTGATAGATAGGGACCTATCAAGTAACATCTGTTCAGGCCACTCATAATAACAACCCCCAATCTATCTTTCCCAGTCCAAGAGACACCAGTCTTCATGCTGGTGTTGCAGTGTTGTAATGATGAACTTTTTCTTTCATTATATAAGAAACAATAGAAAGGTAAGTGTCCTCATTGCCAATGTTAGTTTTATTTATCTTCCCTAATGGTGACCATGGCATAGAGAAAAATCATATTCATGTAGAACTGCACAAAGATATTGGGTCTTTGGCAGAGGGCCCAGACAGCTTGTTATCAGAATAAAAGAGAACAGGGGATAATGTCTCATACATCTTGAAATATTTAAAGGCTCACTAAACCTTGGTACAAAGGCAATTGGCACATCCCCATGAGTCAAATAAGATTGGGGGAGGGAGGTGAAAGTGGATGATATCCCACTCTCCCATTCTTTCTGACCTGTTTCCCACAGTGGCTTCAAATTCACTAAAAGAGGGGTGTAAAGAGTGATTTTTAGCTTTGCACAATAGAAAACAAAATCAGACAGCTTTTCAAGACAAACTTTTCTTTTTCAAAGCTACTTTCCGTCTTTTACCTTTTTAGCGCAGGAGGGGCACCCTACAAATAATGAATACAAGCCTTTATTTTAGAGATAAGGAAATTGAGGCCCAGAAAAGACCTGTAACTTGCCTTAGGTGGTTGCGTTCTATCAGCTCAGACTTAGGATGGTAGAATAATATGAGTGGGTTTTGCAATGGAGGAATAGAAGTAAGATTTGTAAGTGTCCACATTTTGAAAGTTCTAGATATCTTGAGAGAAACTGATTTTTTCTGTTTGCAGCTGGAGTGTTATTGGATCTGTGATGCCCTCACTTTGGGGACTGTAGAGTAACAACTATAAGCTCCATTACCGGAGCCTGTTAATACTTATTACCTGCCAATTTTTTTATTTCAAATTTTTATTTAAATTCTAATTAGTTAACACATATAGTAAAATTGGGTGCAGGTGTAGGCTTTAGTGATTCATCACTTAAATACAACACTCAGTGGTCATCACAAGTACTCTCCTTAATCCCCATCATCAATTTAGCCCATCTTCAATTTAGCCCAACACCTTCCATCAACAGTTTGTTCTCTATTGTTAAGAGTCTCTTGTGGTTTGCTTCCCTCTTTTTCCCCCCTTCCCCTATGTTCATTTGTTTTGTTTCTTGAACTCCACATATGAGTGAAATCATATGGTATTTGTCTTTCTCTAATTTTGTGTAGCATAACGTATTCTAACTCCATCCATGTTATTGCAAATGGCAAGATTTCATTCTTTTTAATGGCTGAGTAATATTCCACTGTATATATACACCTGGCAATTCTTTTTTGGTGGGCGAGGGGGCATATCTTTTTTTAAATTTACACCCAAGTTAATTAGCATATAGTGCAATAATGATTTCAGGAATAGAATCCAGTGATTCATCCCCTACATATAACCACCAATGTTTATCCCAAGTGTCGTCCTTAATGTCCCTTGCCCATTTAACCCATCGCCCTACCCACAACCCCTCCAGCAACCCTCAGTTTGTTCTGTTTGTATTTAAGAGTCTCTTATGTCTTGTCCCCCTCCCTGTTTTTATACTATTTTTGCTCCCCTTACCTTATATTCATCTGTTTTATATCTTAAATTCCACATGAGTGAAGTCATATATTTGTCTTTCTCTGACTAATTTTGCTTAGCATAATACACTAGTTCCATCCACATTGTTGCAAATGGCAAGATTTCATTTGTTTTGATTGCCCATTAATATTCCATTGCATATATATACCACATCTTCTTTATGCATTCATCAGTCAATGGACATTTGGGCTCTTTCCATACTTTGGCTATTGTTGATAGTGTTGTTATAAATATAGGGGTGGGTGCATGTGCCCCTTCAAAACAGCACTCCTGTATCCTTTGGATAAATACCTAGTAGTCCAATGCTGGGTCGTAAGGTAGTTCTATTTTTAATTTTTTGAGAAACTTCCATACTGTTTCCCAGAGTGGCTGCACCAGTTTGCGTTCCCACCAATGGTGCAAAAGAGTTCCTCTTTCCTCACATCCTCGCCAACTCTGTTGTTGCTTCAGTTGTTAATTTTAGCCATCTGACAGGTGTGAGGTGGTATCTCATTGTGGTTTTGATTTGCATTTCTCTAATGATGAGGGATGTTGAGCATTTTTTCATGTGTCTGTTAGCCATCTGGATGTTTTCTTTGGAAAATTGTCTACTCATGTCGTTTGCCCATTTCTTCACTGGATTATTTGTTTTTGGGTGTTGAGTTTGGTAAGTTCTTTATAGATTTTGTATACTAACCCTTTATCTGATATGTCCTTTGCAAATATCTTCCCACATTCCATCACTTGCCTTTTAGTTATGTTGATTCCTTCTCTGTGCAGAAGCTTTTTACCTTGATGACGTCCCAATAGTTCATTTTTGCTTTTGTTTCCCTTGCTTCCAGAGATATGTTGAGTAAGAAGTTGCCATGACTGAGGTCAAAGAGGTTTTTGCCTGCTTTTTCCTCTAGTATTTTGATGGCTTCCTGTCTTATGTTTAGGTATTTCATTCATTTCAAGTTTATTTTTGTGTATGTATAAGATAGTGGTCCAGGTTCATTCTTCTGTATGTTACTTTCCTGTTTTACCAACACCATTTGCTGAAGAAACTGCCTTTTTCCATTGGATATCCTTTCCTGCTTTGTCAAAGATTAGTTGGCCATATGTTTGTTGGTCAATTTCTGGGTTCTCTATTCTGTTCCATTGATCTATGTGTCTGGTTTTGTGCCAGGGCCACACTGTCTTGATGATTAGAGCTTTGTAATACATCTTAAAGCCTGGAATTGTGATGCCTCCAGCCTTGGTTTTCTTTTTCAGGATTACTTTAGCTA